TCCCAGGGGGGGGCGTCGTATCTGACCCGGGGGGGGGGGGTCGCTACCCTTCCCCCCCCTCCCGGCGGGGGAGGGAGAAGTCGAACGCTGGGCGCAACGCGGTCCAGCTATTACTTTATTTTCCGATGGTGGAGGCGGCCTAAACGAAGACGCGGCGAAAGCCCTTCTGAGAGCCAAGGGCGCAGAACATCGCATGCGCGCCCGAGGCCAGAACGCCGCCACTATTGAAGGGCGAAGTGGCGTTCCACGGCGCGCTCTGCACGTCGCAGAGGGTGAACGCAAGAGACTATATGCCAGTAGGGTTTCTTGCGTGACTGCGCGACTGCCCATTTGCGCACAATGCTTTCGCGCCCCATAGCGGCGCATCGCCATGTCGAGCCTTCCGCGGCCGACAGCCGGTGGTGGACCGCGCGCAAACAAGTGCTAGAAATTTCTGACCATGACCAAGAACAGACAATCCTAGAACTATAAGGCATCGCACAGGCCATAGCAGTTGCCATGGCAAACCGAGCCCCGCGCACCAAGACAACACCTGCTGGGCAGCGCAACTACAAACCAGGCGATCGACCGCAACAACTATCAGCGGCCAACTACCGCCAAAGACCAACGGGGCGGCCGGAACGGGCCATGCCCCGCCGCGCGCAACCATCCAGGCCGAGGGCCGGCCGTGGCGGCGGTCGGTGAACGAGAGATTTCTGGTGCAGAATCCAGATCTACGCCATGCTCTCTATGTAGAGGCATTCACTTTCCGCGAGGTCGGCTCCGTCACGACGGTCATGAGAACAGCATTGGCCTTCGTTGGGGGCCTGCTTGCGGGGGAACTGTCTGCGACGTTCGGAAATCTGCCTATCCGCGCAGAGGCGCCCGCGGATGACCGCGGCGAGTAAACTCTCCGAATTCAATGTTGGCCATGCAGTTCCTCATCCGGAATTATCTACGCATCCAGAGCGTAGCGGCCGCGCGCGTGGCCGAAAGCATCCACGGATTGCCCGCGGCACCATGCGCCGATTGCTGCGCGCTCGCATGTTGCGATAACGACGTCACTCCGGGATTCCACGATTACGAATCTCTAGGTACAGCGTTGAAGATACACGGCGTCACTAGGTCAACCAACGCACGGGCAATTCCAGGCTTCGAGTCCACCGCGCCCGGGGTAGGTTTCGACGAAGACCTGTCCGAATTTGAGAACCCGGCGGGCACGCCGCCATCGGGCGGCCGCACTCAGGAGAGACAAGCGGGAGCACTTCGCGCCGTTGACGACGGTCGTCTCGCGACCATCGCTGAGGAAATAAAAGCGGATCTCGAAGAAAACGTCCTCGGAGCATGGTATACTGAACTTCGGGAAGAGAAGGATCTCGTGTCATAAATGCCAGTATAATCCCCGTACGCAGTACCTATTGATGTGATCACAAAACACTGCCCGCATGCGTCGGCGACCGGCGACGAGCGAGGAAACTTGCATCATCACGAGCGCCGTCAGGGCGGCGCGGAGGAGACGCACTTCGTCTTTGGATCCACGGCAGAACACGATGAGTCTTATGGCTTGGATTCAGATGAACACAGTCAGTACGTAGAATTTTGCTCTACTTCCGACGTGGCCAGATCAGCGCAATACGCGCGCGCGTCAGGTACGCCCAAAATAGCTGTCATCATCAATGAATACGAATTTCTTACACTGGCAGAAGTACAGCCAAATTCTGCCAAGTTCCCCAAGAAGTACTGTACACTTAACCGAAGACATGTTCCGACAGTGCCTGTTTAGAGATTCAGGGAATCAGGGGCGCGTCGGACATAATGGCAGCGCGACCTGCGCAGAAGTGGAAATTCTGAAGAACGAGCGGCGAAATGGAGCGCGCCATTAGGTTGCGCTCGGCTTCGCGCGGCTTCATGGAAGTCGAGGCCTTCGACGTGGAGACCTCTTTCAGGAACAGCTCGCTAGGCTAGTCAACGACTGCTCGCAAGCGCGGCCGAGCGAGGGAAATCCGGTATAATTGCGTCTATGGACATTGGCAAAGTTTCCGTGCAGGGCTCGGCATATCTTGAGCTGGCTGAAGCCGCCGGGGAAAACGAATGCATGGCATGCTTCACGCTGCCCCTTGGCTCGGCCGCGGTGCTACGAACGCCCCCTGGTTTTGCGCCCCGCGACGAATCCCGCCATTGTTTCTAGCCCCTGAAGACGGGTTAGGTCATTCTCGCTCAGATTCAGGACCCGAATGAGAGGCTTCATACCGACGTCGCGCGACGAGGGGTCCCGTCCCGGCCCGAACATCCTTGCGGTCAAACGCGCCGACGACATCAGCGCTGCAGGAGTCGAGGACGCGATTGACAAGCATGGCAAGTGCGTAGAAGGCACGTTCGGCGCTTGAGCTCAATTTGGACAGCTGCGCAAACTGCGCGAGCCGCGCGTTGCACTGGGGCCGAGGGCGGCCGCGCCCAGCTCCGCCGAATTGGATGCATCGCGCGACCTCGGCCCGCGCAAGTCCCAGAGCTAGCTGGAGCCGAAGCAGAAGAAAAGGCGACGGCAACTGCGTTGGATATGCTCGGCGGCTCACGCGTTGCATTAGCTAGCATGCGCTTACTATTCGAAGCGTGGCTAATTTTGCACGTGGTCTCTTTGCACGCGTGTCCAAGAACCGCCCTACATGCGAGCGCGTCGACTCAACGCGGCAACGCGCTACATGCACCAAGGCCCTACGAAACTCACATGCCAGATGATGATTCGGGCAGGAGAAGTGGATCTACTCAACAACTCAGGCTATCACCGCCTGAGTGGCGTAGCCTACGAAGAAGTTCAGGGGCGCGGCAGCCGAGGCGCCGACCTGCCGTTGCGCGGGCGCACGCCGAGTGGAAGAGGCGGTCGCGCATCTGAGCATTGAGTTGCATCGGCTGCGAGCCACTCCGCTGAAATTTCGCAGCAGCAGCTCGCAACTTGGAAGACCTAGTACCCGACCATCGCTAGGCTACGCGAGCCCAAGGCTGGCGAATTTATCCCGACACAAATCAATAACGCATTGGAACTGGGCGGTCTAAGCATTAACGCGGCGCTCGCCATCGACGCCGAATCGGCTTCCAAGTCTTGTTCCAGAAAGGACCCAAAGAAGCCCACTTAGTGTGCCCTACTGGGGCGCATCAGTTGAATTCGGCAGATTATGGAGAGACGTATCGCACATAGCGCGCAGTGGTGTGATAGACGTGAAATGACAGCCCATGGACACCAAAGGCCGTATCCAACCTGCACTATTCTTACAAGTGATGGCAGGTATTCTGTCATTCAAGTAGGAGGTGCACATGCGCACTCCCTACAGAGGAGAGCGGACATTGGCTTCTTGAGCCTGGCCCCACATCAGGCCGGCGGTTCAAGCGTGAGCGCAGGCAGGGACACATGTTTGCGCCCGTCCCATCTCGGGGTGCAGGTTTGTTGTTGCTTGGTCACGGGCCATGCGTTTGCTGTTGCTCGCTCGCGGGGTTCAGCATTTCTCGCGTTGCGAATTTTGGTGTCCGGATATGTCTTCGGACGTCCACCTATAATTTCATTATGGTGGACCCGTTGTTTGGCTAGGGCGGTGGGTGTGCCCCTTCTGCGCATGCTGCTGCGTCAGCCGATGGTGACGTTCTCAGCGTCTGGCACTTTTGCAGCAGTAAATATTGATACGATGGCAGTTTTATTGACCGCTATACTGCCTTATATGTTTCGTTGCTATTTCATGTCCTATAGAATGTATCTTGACGCGGCCCGTCGTTCGATTCTCCCTCTCCTGACTTTGAGCGGAGGTCACAAGCGAGATTGGAGCGACGCGCCTGCGTCCCGACGCCACTTGGGCTCAAGCGACGTCGCTCTACTTGACTGTCCCATTCGCAGGACACGGCAACTTTGGAGTAGCGGAAAACAGGAGACGTCCACTTCTTTCGGCGACGCACCCTCTACTCCCATGTTTTATGTCTCATCGACCAGCTCAAACATATTGCAGCATAGTTGCGGGGTACTATGGTATTCTTACCGCGTAGTAGATGGTACGGCTTACCACATCCCCTTCCACCGACAACGGGCATGCTAGTCAAGGTTTTTTTTGTATCGGGCTTGGCATGCTGTGTGCTGGTGTGTGCGAGTGGCAGGCGGATTGGGGAGGCGCGGTGCTTTGCGACTTCCATGGGGGCAGCAACAAATGCACAACGGGTACGGATGCGTGCAATGTTTTGACAGATTGTGTGTCGACGGCACTCTGCCAGAATATTGGAACGCATTCTTGCCAAGGCAGAGGACGTCCCGCCGTTTTCGTGTATTGATATGGCTCCGCTCGGCGCAGCCAGCTGCTTACGGCAAGTCCCACCACCGTGCCTGCCCAGTATTCTGGGTATTTCGTCTTCTCCTTCTGATGAGCTCCCATGGGACCCAATTGGGCTGTTTTGGGGCTGTCCTTCGGTTTTTGTGGGGCAGTCTTTGGGTCGTCTTGGGGCCCTTTTAGGCAGTCTTGGGACTCTCTTGGGCCAGGCTGGGGTGGCCGCGTGAGAGGATTCATGGGGTTGGCGTGGGACCGTCTTGGCGCTGTTTTGGGCCGAAGGCCTTCTGAGTCCATCATGTGTGTTTCTGCAAGCCCTCTTGGGCCGTCTTGAAGGCTTCTTGGGCGATCATGGGGTCCTCTTGGGCCGTCTTGGGAATCTTTGGGGTCTCTTGTGCCGTCTTCGGGGTATCTTCCTTGGAGGTTTCTTGAGCCGTCTTTGGCTGACGGAAGCCCAAAAAGGCGGGAGTGTGGTAGTCATTCGGAAACCACAAAAGATCGATGGTATTAGTTTCTCCGGACTCTGTTGGGGGTCCTCGTAGGCCCTCGTGGAGACATGTTGGGCCATTTTGAAGCCATTTTGGGCAGTCGGCCTTTAGCATTCTAGCACGCCTGGTCGATAGATGTGGTGGGCGAGCGGATGTCTTCGGATTATGTTGTATCGTATTCAAAGAGACGCATCCAGCTGCAGCTGCGCCGCCCTTCCCGGACCCATCTGCAGCGATGTACCCGCCGCAGCCGCAGCTAGGCCTGGTCGCCACTATTGCGTCACCTGTCGCGTCATGTTGTTTGTTTCAATGTGTGCATTGCTTTGCGTATGTTTTGCGCTACGCGTGTTCCCACCTGCAAATCCAGAAACGGTTCAGGGTCGAGTTGCCGTGGAGAGAAGTGAATGATCATGAGTGGAGAAAAGATGGGTGCACTAGTCTCACCAGGGGAGGATCATTCCAAGCGGCCCTCACAATTACCAATTTGGGGCCCTCACTGTGCGCGCACGGGTGGCAAGGATGGAGTAATTCGCATGCCCATTGGGCCAACGACGTGCGAGCTCCCCCAAGCAGGTCAAATCAGGTAGTGTTGTTAGGCAAGGCAAGGCAACGCGGTCTGCATGCCAGCTCCGGTGCCGGAGCGGTCCCCTGGAGGACAGACGAATGATCTCGCGCAGGATCGGCCAAACGCCGCGTGGGCAATCTCTTATTCACCCATAGGCGAAAGCATGTGCAGCGCGACAGAAACAGCAAGAGGGGCGAGGGAGGGGGGGAGGAGGGGGAAGAGGGGGAGGAAGGGGGAGGAAGGGGGGACACATGCACATGCACAACGTGGACTCCCGTTGATCGCCGGTCTCGTCGTGGTGCTGGAGCTCTTGGGGACCTTTGGTTTATTCTTGCATTTCGTAGGGCTATCTCGAGGCCATCTGAAGGCCTCATAGGTGCATCGAACATCTAACATTCCACCGTGGCACAACGATCAAGTTTTATCGAGCCATCTTTGGGTTTTGCCAATTTGGGTCAACCTTGCGCCAGCAGTTTTCTACTGACGGCTGCATTGTGTGTTTATCTGCCTCCTTCGCTTGCTTTCGGTCTGCCTATCTTCTCCCTTTTCCCCTGATGGTGTTTTTTTTCGTTTGCTTCTCACTCTCATACTCATCCCGCTCGTACTACGCCTCTGACTTGACAATTGCTCATTCTGAATACTACTCCCTCTCCCGTGACTCCGTGCGGGAGATGTCCCGCCCTCTCCGCGCATGGCTGTTAGCACGGGATTGTATGGTTTGCAGTATTTTGTATGTTTTTCCGTCCAGTCGGAACGCTCTCGGTGTTTCAAACTGGTGTTCTCGCTGCAGCGGGGCCTCATTTTCGCATCAGCGCTTTGCTCCCGTCGTTCAGAATGGGGCTCTTGCTCCAGCGTGGGCCACTTTTTTTGATCCGAGTCTTCCCTCATCGTTGTCGCCCACCTCCTTTCCCCTCCTCTGCCTTCCCCTACCCATCCGCCACCTAATCCAATATACACAACTCCCCTTTTCCGACTGCACAACCCTGTGGGGTCCTTGCTGGAGTTGCAAGTCCGCTATGACACGCGTCGCCGGATAGAGCAAACAACGGAGCAATGGAAATGGATGGGCGGGAGGGGTAGGATGTCAGATCGGACGCGAGCGCACCTAGCTTGTCCCTCTCCCCCTCTCCCGCCTCCCTCCTCTATCCGTCATCCATTCCCCATTCCGTTCGGCCACTTCATTTCCACCTTGTGTTCCTCGCGGCGTTTTATGCATCCTGCTGGGCATGCCTTCTAGATATGAGCCCCAGCGTTATGCACTAGCGAATCTGACCCTCGTACGGCGTCAAGGAATGTTGCATACCTGTCGCTTAACATAATGACGTTGATTGTTTTCATGTGTAGCAATGTGTTGACATTTGCTGGTATTTGTTGACATTTGTCGGTAAACCGTGCCTCGCTTCTTGTCGACATTCGTTGATATGTGTGTCCGGGATTTGTCGAGGGAGCCGCAGTTTCCACGCAGTAAGTGAAGCGAGAGCTCCTGAAGAGTTCGAGGATCCAGCGCGCAGATCTCTAAGCGAGAAGAGGCCAGTCCAGGCCTAGTGAAGGTATGCCCCCTCACGACCTTCTGGGGTATCGTGAGGCAGGTTCGGATGTTTGCCAGAAGAGATGAGTGTCTCCTACACGCCTTCGGAGGTGTTGGGACTGGATTCTTCGGGGAACAAACAACGACATGAACATAAATGTTCGGGGGTCCGCGCGGGTTTCTCAGATCGGCGTTGGCGCCCCCCGGCGGCGCCTGCGGCGCCGCCCGTGGCGCGCTCCGCGTGCCAGGGAGGGAGGTCCAGCGCCGATCTAAGAAATCCGCGCAGGCCTCCGAAAGTTTATCTTCATGCTTCGGGGCCAGGGAGCGACAAGGCGTGCGTGTCTTGCGCTGTCCAAGCTTCTCTAAGTTCCGTTTTGTTTTCAGCCATAGGACTCAATGGTTCGTATATTCGATGGGAGTTGCAGAAGAGTCAAACAGTATCAATGCTTCTAATGCGGCACGCTTCGTGATCCCGCCAATGTGATGACCAGTCCTCTTGTCGGGCGGCGAAATCTAGACATATCCACTGCCCCCTGGCTGGGCCCTTCCTGGGCCCAGGAGCTCTCTATACGCCCTCCTGACCAAGCCAGGAGGACGTGGCGTATATACCAGATATGTACAGATGTCGTCGCGTCGTCGTCCCCGAGCTTCGTCGTCGTCGTTGAGCGTCGTTCGTCGACCGCAGGCAGCAGCCCCAACATCAGCCCCACGGGCGCGTCGCTTCCCGGGGCCCAGCCCCAGAAGAACTTCGGCGCCCTCGACTTCGACGGCCCGGCTGCGAGCGGGCCTTCTGGCGCGCCGGGGGCCCCGATGCCCGGCATGCCAGGCATGTCACCGCCGCCGCCGCCGCGTCGTCGTCATCGCCGTCGCCGCCTCTCGCAGGATCTAATGTCGGTTCCTCCGATTCGATGCGATTCGATTCGATTTCGATTGCTTCCGATTCCGATTCGATTCGATTTCGGATTCCGATGTGGCTTCTGATGTCTCAATGGAGGCCTATTGGCCTGCAAATTTCCGCCGATTCGACTTCTCCCGACTTGGTTGCCGATTTCCGCAGATCCGATTCATTTCGATCGCCGATCCGATTTCTCGATTCGACTCTGGGCTTTCTTGCCTTGCCGCCACAGTTGAACTTGTGAGGCGCTTTGTAGCGCTCTTGGTTTTCAGGCTGGCGCTCCACGCGGATTTCTTGGATCGGCGATGGGCCCCCAATGGCGGCGCCTCCAGCGCCGCCCCTGGCGCGCTCCGCGCGCCAGGGAGCGGAGTTCAGCGGCGATCCAAGAAGTCCGCGCGGACCTCCAAAAGCTGATGTGTATCCAGTTTGTTCCTTTATTTGAGACCTCCGCTCAAGGAATGAGTCCGTTACTCTCGGCTTCACGACCGTCGTGGATGGAGCATTCGGCGATGCGCGTGCACAGCGGGCAGCATCCGCGAAGCGCGCGCTAGCTACCAGTTATTGAGAGCGTGCAGCAGTCGATCTCGGTCGGCATTTCATCTCCATCAAGCCAGAGCATATACGTGTTGTGTTATGTACTGCGAAATGCCTGTGGGCTAAGAGTTTTGATGAGGTCCTGGACAGCTCCGGAAGATTCCCCGACAGCTCCAGAAGATTCCCCGATGAGCCATGGGTCGAGGAGGTACCAGAACGGTCCCACAGGGGTCCTGGGGCGGCCCCCTTATGAGCGGCCCTGGAGAAAGGCTTGCTTGTTTGAGGCATTTGTGTTGGGGAGGCGGGGGGGGGATCGTCTTGGGGCCGTTCCAGGAACGTATCAGTGCAATCAAGGGGAGGGTGTTGGTCCCTCTGGGCCGTTTCTCGAGATTTTTGGCATTCCTCCCAGGGCGTCTTTGGGCATTAGGGGAAGCTTCGGATGCCCATTCGGCGGTACGTGACTCTTTTGGGTGTCTGCGGAGCTTCCCCCATGCAATCTAAAAACGGCGCCGAGGCATCCGAGACGGTGTTGGGCCTGGGCCGTTCGGTTCTCGAGCATGCAAGGGCTGGAAGCAACGAGTTTGACTGCTACGTAATGGCCCCGTTCAGTTTTAGCACGCCGTTGGTCCTCTCGACAGGCTTGCTGGCTAGCATCCGCTAACTCGTGCACTTCCTGGGGCCACGAGTGGTCTTTGCGATGCTCAGACCATCACTTATATTCGCCTGAGCTCGAAGCCCCAGAAATTCTTGCGGTTGGAGGCCTGGTGGATTCTGTAGTCCTGATCAAATCTACCTTGCTGCTAGACATCTGAGATCCAGTCCAACAGTTGTGCTGAGTTGCACTGGCGATTCAGGGTACTACGCTTCGGATTTGTTTGGTTTTGGGCCCAGGTCGCCTGAGAGACTGGATTCCCAAATGGGGCGGCCTAGGAACATTCGTTTCGCCAATGGGGGCTCACACTTTGATCCAAAGAGTACGGCTTCTTGTTGTCTTCATGCATACAGATGCATACAGCACGCTCGTTTTTCTTTCAGGCCACATCTCCGCAGGGCTTCCTTTGTAGTGTTCCCGGTTTGCCTGGCGACCTTTCGATTCGCACAGCGATCGAGGCCGAGGCAGGTGAAGTTCTGTGGTCGCGCTTTTTCATCTTCACGCCAAACCATATGTTTGATCTAAAAAGCACGTTTCGGCTAGGCGCACCGCCAATGCCTCAGCCTGGCATGATTCCGATGATGAGCATGCAGCAGCTCCAGCAGCAGCCCCTGCCGCAGCTGCAGCAGATGCAGGCGCCCGTGCCGTTTTCTTTTTGATGTCGTCCATCACGTTGGTCTAAAGAGGTTATCTTTGCACTATCGCGATTGTCGACCGTCTGGGCCTCGCTGGACGTGCGCACGTTAGGTGTTCATCACGGTATACGTCTTGATTTGGCAGTGTTCAGGTTTTTAGTCGTGATGGCTGGCCGCGATAATTCGTGTTGCACCAGCTCTGCCTCCACTGACAAAGACGGATGAGGAGACTGGAGTTTGTTTTCTTGCACTTGGATGCAGCACTCAGACGGGGACATACCAGTCTCTCTTTTGAATTGTTCATTCACACTTGCTGTGATCACGCGTAACATACCCTCTTAGATGCAGACTTGCCTATCGGGGTGTGGATATCTAATCCCGCTGATTCCATCAGAGGTAGAAAGACGGTTGGAGATCAGACAGTCATCGAACAGCTGCCTTTCCCCCCGAGGCAGTGCTCCAGCAGCAGTTGCAGCTGGTCATGCAGGCGTGCTGGTTGGGCCGATCTTCCGCGTCTCCGCCCTCCCCCTCTCCTCCCCGTCTCCCGCCACGTCTACACCCCCGCTCTTCCGCCTCTTCTCGCTGGCCGTCATCGTCGTCGTCGTCGTTTTCGTCGTCGTCGTGGCCTTCGAAAGAATAAGCGGAGGAAGAAACGACCTTGACGCCCTCTCACACGTTCAGTGTCGCCCCCCTCAATGTCGAAGCAGGGCGGAACGCGTCTGGGCGGGTGTGGCTCGGAAGTTCCACGATGACCAACGTTGGAGAGGCGGCGCCGACAGGTATTGTACGCGCAACGCCATCCAAGCCCAGGACATCACATCACTTAATTCAGGGTAGTAGATGCTGCTGGAAGATAAATCGCGAGACAACGGTCGTCCTAAACGCTTCTCGCTTCCCACCAACCCGTCCAGCGACACGTCTCTCGCTGTTCCGTTGTGGCTCACGTGGACGGTCCTCGCTTGGGTGCCATTTTGGAGGCCAACTTGTTAAATATATCGTTGTGTTCCCTACCTGCTTGTGGAGTTGGGTCCTCGTTTTGAAGAGACAACGCCCCGAGTCCTGCTCTGTCCTCCTCCTCCTCCTCCTCCTCCTCCCGCTCCCTCCTCCCTCCTCCCTCCCCTGCCTCTGCCCTACGCATGTCAACCATTTCGATACACACCTCACACGTGTCGTACCCCCATCTAGAGCTCAACCGAATGCCCAAGTGGCAGGGTCCGCATAGCGTACCCGCACCCGATTCGGCACACCCCTCACACGGTTCGTGCGCCCAGACGGAAACCCACCGAACGTTGCAGCGGCAGGGTCCGCATGGCGTACCCGCACCCAGTTCGGCACACTCTTCTCATCAGGTTTTGTGGTCCCATCTTGGAGGTTCACCGAAGGCCTCAGCGGCAGGGTCCGCATGGTGCATCCGCGCCCGATTCGGCACAACCCTCACACGTTTCGCGGTCCTGTAGCGAGCTCCACAGAAGGCCCGAACGACAGGGTCCGAGTCCGCATGGCGCAACCCCGCGCCCGATTCGGCACACCCCTCGCACGTTGCGTGGCCCCGCAGGGAACTTCACCGAATGCCCGAGCGGCAGGGCCCGCATGGCGCAACCCCGCGCCCGACTCGGCACACCCCTCACACGTTCCGTGGCCCCATGGGGGGGCCACCGAAAGCCCCAGCGGCAGGGTCCGCATGGTGCACCCGCACCTGATTCGGCACATTCCTCATATTTTTCGTGGTCCCATGGGGGGGCCCACCGAAAGCGCCAGAGGCAGGGCCCGCATGGCGTACCCGCACCTGATTCGGCACAACCCTCACACGTTTCGTGGCCCCAGAGGGGGCTTCACAGAAGGCCCCAGCAGCGGGGTCCGCATGGCGCACCCGTACCAAATTCGGTTGAGCTTTCAAAAATAAACGATAGCGATTGCGGCCGCGAAGGTTGCTTCGTCGCCATCGCCAGTCGCTGCCGTCGGCGTCATCTTCGCATTCACGGCCATCCGTGGTCACTGTGGCTCAATCCGGATTTCCATATTCCGATACCGAATGCCAGCCAAAAACAGAAAGCGGAGCGCCCTGGCAGATGAGGTGGGCGCTCATGTGAACCGTCGTATTATCGACCTCTCGAGCGCGGGCTTTGATGCCGTTCGCGCCCATGTGGCCGCTGCCTGCTCCGCGCAAGACCAGCGACGTCTCGCCGAGCATGTGCGGTCCAACAGCCGCTCCGTACTGCTCCCGCCAGTGCCCGGAGCTCAGGGCGCGTGGTTCGGCGCAGGCACCGCAGGCGCGTCGAACAATGGGGTGCGTGCATCGCCCCGCCGTGACGGCCAGATCGCGTGCGCCGCGGGCGCTGTCGCTTATCAGCGCAAACGCTGCACACGGCTGGGCGCTAGCACCGCGGGAGCGTCAAATCATACGGCACAGGCCTCGCCTCGCCATGGAGCGGTCAGCGCGGGCGCCACGAGGGTAGTCGATTTGCCCGCGCGGGCGTTGCGCGCCGCCGGGCGTAGGCACCGCGGGCGCGCGAATGAAGAGGCGCGGGCGTCTCGCCATCTCCTCGCTAAAGTGAAGGCGCCGCGGGCATTCGTTCTAATCAGCGCAGGCGCAGCACTTTCGTGCGCGTCAAATGATAAAGCGCAGGGAGCGCCCTGTCAGGAACTTTTCGCAGGCGCGCAAGGCCTTGTTTTGCATCGGCGCAGGTGCGCCCTTTTTTAGCTATTAACTCGTTAAGCTCAAGGGGAGGCGGGGGGGGGTGCGGGGCGGGGGGGCGCGCGAAACTTGGCATTGTAGCAGCGCCACTGCCCCGAACGGGGCGTCGCGCCCCCTGCGGGGGCGAGCGTAGGGCGCGCGGGGTCGGGGGGCGCGGCTGCAACGCAGTGCCTCGACGGCGGCAGTTCGCGCGCGTACCATTCCGCGCGCACGAGGAGTTGCGTTTTTTTATCTGGGCCATGGCGCGTCTGTGGCAGGCACAGAAACGCGGCGGCGCCGACTGAGATGGGGACCGGGGGGGGCGCGCGCGAATGTTAGCATTGCATCAGCGCCATTGCCCCGAGCGGGGCGTCGCGTCCCTTGCGGGGGCGAGCGCGGGGCGGGCGGGGTCGGGGGGCGCGGTTGAACCGCGGAGCAAGGCCTCGAGAGCTCGAGCGAGCACCGTTGAGCCGCGATTGCGGCAGCTCGCAGGCGTACCACTCCGCGCGCAGGAAAAGTGAGCTCTGTATCTGGACCTTGGCGTGTCTGTGGCAGGCATCGAAAATCGTGGCGGCGTCGGTTAAAATGTTCAACGTAGGAATGAGCTTTCAGCACAAAGGACGGCGATGGATCACTACTAGTACTGCTGCCCCTATTACTGATGTTACTGTTACTTGAAGTGCCAATGCCAGCGCGACGACTACGACGACAAAACAAAATGATGGTCTATTGAACGGGATCCTGGACAAGTTTCCCAACACTTTGATAAACAGTTCCCAGAAACACTTGTACACATCACCATGACCAACATCTCGAACATCATCTACAACCGAACCAACATTAATATCCGAACGAACGTTGGAAAGAACATCTTAAGCAGTCCCTTAAACCGTTTCCCAGGTACTGTGCTGAACAACGTCGCGAACATCATCCTAACCAGCAGCGTGAACATTCTCTTCGGCAACATCCCGCACCGCAACGCAAACAACATCCCGAGCAACATGTGCATGCGCATCCTTTCTGGCATTTGGGACAATATCTTAAGGGACGTCTTGTATAGCATCCCGGACAAGATCGCAACCATTATTCTGTAACAAAACATAATTCGTTACCACAGACAATTTCGTAAACAATATCGCGAACAATGCCAGCACTGAGCTCCCAAACAATATCGAAGACGCCTACGGCGAATCTCCGCCGCTTCCTGCCTTTTTGGAAGCGCCTGCGTGGCCGAAAGTTGGGTTAGAGCTTGGTCAAGCTATCGGGCCACGCGTTCCCCGAGTGGGTCTCGAAAGCCTTCGGGGAACACGGAGCCGGGCAAGCTATCGGACCAGGTGGTTTCCGAGCTTTCGGGCCTCCTGGAGGACGTCTTGGAGGGCTCTTGGGCCGTCTTGGAGGCCTCTGGCGCGCCTTTTGTGCAGTCTAAGGCCATCTTCAGGCCATCTGGGGCCGTCTTGGGTGCATCTTGGGGACATCTTCGCCGTCTTGGAGGCCTTCGTGGCCGTCTTGGAGGCCATCTTGGCCTGGAGGCCATCTTGGGCGTCTTGGGGGCCTCCTGGGCCGTCTTGGGGTCTTGTTAGGGCCCTCTCGGGGGCCTCTTGGCCTGTCATCGGGCCATCTTGGAGACCTCTTGGGCTCTCTTGGGGCGATGTTGGGGGCCTCTTGGGCCGTCTTGGGTCGTCGGAGAGCTGATAAGAAGAAAATGCCCAAATCCTTCAACAAAACGAAGGCACATCAATGATTTTGGCCTCTTCGGGCCTTCCTGGAGGACGTCTTGGAGGGCTCTTGCGGGCCTATAGGGCCGTCTTAGGCCATCTTGAGGCCATCTTGGGCCGTCTTGGGTGCATCTTCGGGCCATCTTAGCCAGCTTGACGGCCATCTTGGGTGTCTTGGAGGCATCCTGGAGGCCATCTTGGCCGTCTTGGAGGTTATCTTGGGCGTCTTGGGGGCCTCTTGGGCCGTCTTGGGCCTTTTGGGGGCCCTCTTGGGGGCCTCTTGGCCTGTCATGGGGCCATCTTGGAGGCCTCTCGGGCGCTCTTGGGTCGATGTTGGGGGCCGCTTGGGCCGTCTTGGGCCGTCGGAGAGCTGAAAAAGAGCAAAAGCCAAAATCCTTCGAAAACTTATGGTACATCAATGATTTTAACCCTGTCGGGCCTTCCTGGAGGACGTCTTGGAGGGCTCTTGGGTCGTCTTGGAGGCCTCTTGCGGGCCTTTTGGGCAGTCTGAGGCCATTTTGGGCCGTCTTGGGTGCATCTTGGGGCCATCTTCGCCGTCTTGGAGGCCATCTTGGCCGTCTTGGAGGCATCTTGGAGGCCATCTTGGCAGTCTTGGAGGCCATCTGGGGCTTCTTAGGGGCCTCTTGGTCCGTCTTGGGGCCTTCTTGGGGCCCTCTTGGGGGCCGTCCTGGGGCCGTCTTGGAGGCTTCTTGGGCACTCTTGGGGCGATCTTGACGGCCTCCTGAGCCGTCTTGGGCCGTCGGAAGGCCGCAAAGGAGCAAAAGCCAAAATTGTTCAAACACCTAGGACAATTTGACCTCTTCGGGCCGTCTTCGAGGCCATCTTGGGCGAACTTGGAGGCCATCTTGGAGCAGTCTGGAGCCGAAAAACCCTTTGCAATCACCTGTTGTGCATCTCTGCGCGCCGCTCTGGGTGGCTTTTGGGAGAACCAGAGCGAGAAACCGAAAGGGTATAACACGCCGGGCATCCTTGTGGCAAGCAGACAGGGGGTTGCGGATCGAAGACGCCTACGGCGAATCACTACCGCCCCCTGCCTTTCTGAAGGAGCCTATGTGGCCGAAAGTTGGGTTAGAGCTT